GTCTTAAAATTCCCAAATATTGAACATATGTAAATCAACTAAGAGTAACTGTAAAGCTCTGATAATCAACTCCAGGTTTATTACATTTTGTGCTAAAGGCCTTTTGATTTATTTATGGGAGGAAGGAGGGTGAATTTAGGAGATGGTGGGTATTATTGAAAGGTGTTTTCCATCTGTGATGTAGGGGGAGTCATTTTGGGATTTATTTAGGGTGCCTATTATTAGAATTTTACAGCATTTCTCTTACATATTGATTGAGTTTCATATCTCATGTAAATATGCCAGCTCCAAGTATGAGCTGTTTGTTGAGGCGTAAATAGCTTTTTGATTACAGGAAATTGAAAAAGAGAAATAAAATAAGCCCAGTAAACAATTTGTCTTGTAAATTTATTGATTGAAGTACTAATGTAAAGTAGTAGTTTTTATGATATGAGTTACGAATATTAAAATCTGTATGTGAAAATTTTTTAAAATCATTTTCCACTTTTTTAACACTTATCACATTGGATTATGCCACAATATAGCCCATTTTGCAGTTGTGTGCTTAGTTACCTTGCTTTGATACAGACCTCTCTGCTTTTCTCATATACATGCCACCTAGTTAGCATAGGAACAACTTGAGTTACACAACAAAACAAGGTCACCTGCAGCCTTGCTGCCATTCAAAGTCCAGGTCACTGAACAGACAACTATAGAATGGTCTATTAGGTTGTTAACATCATGGGATCATTCCCATGGTGGAAAATTGATATTTTAATCAATTTAAGGACAGCTTCTTCCATTATCAAGTTTGCAGGTAAAGTACTGTAGACAATAATGAAAGTACCCCCTTGAAAACAAAACAGTTTAATTTTTTTTTTTAATATCTATGAGATTACAGTGGTATATGTTAATATGTATATGTTTTTATTTATATTTCTGTATGATCATTAAATTGTAGATTGTGATGTAATTTAGCAAATATAACAATTATTTTACTAAGTACCCATGAGTTACTTCAACTAATGCCTTTTGTTACCCAAGAGGGGAAATGGGCCAGACTTACTCAGGCTTACAGTATAATTTTTAAGACCACCAAGCTAAATTAATCCCATTTTCCTCATTATTATCTTAGCTCACTTCCTCAGGAAACCCAATTAAAAGCGTAAGACTTTTTTTGGAGACTTGAAGGACCTGAAATAAAATCAACTGATGAATGAGTAAATTCAGTAAATAAAGTTTTTGAATTTTCCCTGTTGTTACTTAAATGTATCTTTATGTCATTCTGTGCGAAGTTTCAACGAATGAATTAAAAATTATCTTGAATTGTTTTTGAGAGACTGTAGAAGTAATAAAATTATGTAAACACTTAAGTTCAGGGCCGACTTCCTGTTCAACGCAATGCTTGGTTGCGGGGAGACTAGTACCATAGTTTGGCCT